CTGGTTTCAATCCCAACCAACAATAAGACAGATGTTAAATTGACAACAGCATTTTTCCTGTGACAGAAAAAAGACACTCAGTATCTCAAGCTGTAAACTATACATTCAAGTACTGACACACAGGTACACATAAACAGTCAAAGTTATAAAAAGTCCAAAAAGTGTTGAAACATAACAAAAGACAAATTATTTTAGGATTAGAAGCTAAAATTTAGAAAAATACATAAATTGATTTTCATTTTCTTTTAATCCTATCATTTTTGTCACTGGGTGATGATCATAAATTTTTTTTATTTTGGAATTTGATATCATAATAAAATAAATGGAAAAATAATTGTAAAATATTTTCGTGTTTTAAATTGCCTGAGTGAAAATTCAGTCGTTTTTCACATTGACTGATTTTACACTGACTGTACCATATATTGTAGTTTGAGTCTTATGTAACCATAGACACTGAAACAAACGCTGTGGCTGGGTTTTGTTGGCAACTGTGACTATTTTGAATAATGTTCTCCACACCTTACACAACTGGGGGCATGGGTGTCCCAGTCGTCTAAGGCGCCACGATTCACTGTGCAGAATTGCGTTCCTTGGGCACGCCAGAAACCTATGATTCTGGGTTTGAGTCCCGGTTCACCCCGATGATGTTTCTAGGTTTGTCAGCACCATACCCGTGCTCGTGGGTTTCACTGAAGTGGTAAACGTCTGAGACCTGCATTACTTCGGGCTTTCCTCCAACATTAAGCTGACACAGCGTGATATAACTGGAATACTGTTAAAAGCGGTGTTAAACCCAACTCACTCACTCACTCCAATGTCCAATGTAACAGAAAAAAGAGGTTATGGCAATTAAGCATCAACCAATCCGTAACAGTGTAAAACAAGAATCATCACGAGTTGACATATCCCCCCAACTCTGGTGCAGCTCGGGAATGAAATTTGGCTACCAGTACCCCACTTTTGGTTCCTTGCCATGGAATACGTTCACTTCAGTGAAGAAAACAACATTGCTGTTCAGTATTTTTAAAAATCCCAAATCATCAAAAGGCACCAGTTCACCACTAGACTGATCTGTATAGCAAGTTTCACCTAGAAATATTCAACGGTTTTTGGAGTTCTGCTCAGGAAACGAGCAAGTCCCTTGTTTTCAGTAGAAGTCCATCTTGTTATGAAAAATTAAAAAAAATTATCAAAAAAATTCCCAAATCATCAAAAGGCACCAGTTCACCACTTGACTGATCTGTATAGCAAGTTTATTAGATGCCGAGCTACTATAACTGTGGTATGTTGGTGTTTCATAATGACCCTTCCCTGCAAATTTACCCTTTGTATGACTGTAAAATTTGGTAAGTGGTTGGTAGTGAGTTGCCTCTGTGCCCGCATTAAACAGAATAGACACTTGCATGAATTAACAGACGCATCTAATAGAGGAAATATGGTAAGTTATTTCCGTTAAGTGCCTTATCTGCTAAAGTATGAGCATGAAAGTAGATGGCGACATGCCCAGTGAATGCAAAGAACCATGTACATCGAATCTTGAACAGAACTCCAAGGAACGAGGCCACAGACAGGCCACCAAACTTCTGGGAACTCATGCATCTTAGAGGGTGCCAAAATAGCAGCAGACTGACAGACACACAATGAAAAAACACCTCCGAGACAAGCCTGTCAGACCGTGTCGTCTGCAGACACTAGTACCCATAAACCTTCCTCTTGTTTGGACCTGACGCCAGCAGCCAGTCCCCACGAGGCACCGTGTTGAGTCGATATGACTCCAATATTGAATGGAGCAGATTAAGAGTATATCAATGCTGATACAAACTGGGGTCCCTCAAGCAAGATACTTGCCTAAAGTAAGAGTTCCTGATCTGTGCACCTCCTGATCGGATGATGCTACTGGCATTCTTTAATAAGGGGTTATGTAACACAGGTTTGTTGAAATTCACAGTTATCCCTTTGGTGTTAAAAATATTTCTGAGCATACAACAGTATCAATACATATAAGCTTAGATACGAGATAAAGCAGGTTTGTAATTTGACAGAATCAAGTATTTTGTTTCTGGATACAACGATATTACAGAAGATCAGTTGTCAAAGAAGAGCGTGGGAGTGCATGTCTCTGGCATTTCTAGTCAGTGTGAAGACAGAAAACATCACGAGGGAAACTGATCTAAGATCTCTGGAGCTCACATCTTATCGAAAACGTTGATTTGTTTAAACTTTAGTTGTCATATAGAACTACTGAGCTCTTATCCATCAGCTTGGTAAATATACTTGGTATGTTAAAGAAGTGGGAACGTTATTAGTGAGTGAGTGAGTTGGGTTTAACGCCACTTTTAACATTATTCCAGTTATATCACGGCGTGTCAGCTTAATGTGGGAGGAAAGCCGGAATTGATGCAGGTCTTAGACGTTTACCACTTATGTGAAACCCACGAGGACGGGTATGGTGCTGACAAACCTAGAAACATAATCGGGGTGACCTGGGAATCGAACTCGCAATCATAGGTTTCTGGCGTGTCCAGTGGACGCAACTCTGCACAGTGAATCGCGGCGCCTTAGACGACTGGGCTACCCGTGCCCCCCGAACGTTATTAACACCATGTTTAATATAAGTAGACACAATTTGAGGATAACAAATTCTTGAGTTGCTGTAAAACTGACCTTTCAGTATAGATCCTTATACCGTTGTCAAGTATAGATCCTTATATCGTTGTCAAGCAAGCCTTGTTGTATAAGGATCTATACTTGACAACGGTCTAAGGATCTATACCAAAACGTCGCCTTTACAGTAATTAAAGAAGTTGTTATCCACAAATTGTGTCTACTTTTCATCCATCAACTTCCAAGTAATGCCTATCAAACAATTCATGCTTAATATATCATGATTATTGTGCTGATCAGTATCTATAGTACTAGTACTGCTAAACTGTTTGATTGGCGTTTTTAGAAGTTGGTAAGTAACAGTAAAGACAAGAAAATATATGGATGACAACTTCTTTTATTCTGTGACGATTCAGGATATCAATTGTCATGAAATAATAGCTTTGTGTAGTGGCAAAATATTTGTACTGCAATGTATTGGGAATCAGGTACCTGTATTGCAATTTGTATTGCGATATATTGGGAGGTAAAGTGTTTGACAGAGATCAATACTGACTGTACATGCAGATCCTGTTTTCTACATACTGAAGTAAATATTACAGCGTCAAAGTCATCATGGTCAGTTGCCTCCATTTTGTAGTCATGGATACAGGGGAGATAATAATGTGAGAAGAACATCATTTCCATGCTTCCATCGTTTTGTTAATCAATAATGAACGGACACATCATTTGTGAATGAATTTGTGTGTAGATTTTAAGCAAAATGATACAAATAATGACAAAATGTGTTATATGCTATTTTTACCCAATTTACCGGAACAGAAAACATATTGCAATACGTATCGTTTGTCCAAGTCAGCATGGTCAGGGGCCACCATATTGTATGTTTACAGGGGAGATAACAACGTGGGAGAAATATCTCTTCCGCATTTCATCAATCAATTACGAAGGAACACATCATTTGTGAATGAATTTCAGTGTAGATTTTAGGTTAAATGATTAAAATAATAATGAAACTTTTTCTGTATTTTTACCCAATACAACAGAACAAAGAAAAAATACTGCAAGACGTATCATTTGAATCTCATATAGCAATAAACCAGTACAGCAGTAATACCTTGCAGTCCTATAAAATAATAACATTGTTTTATTTTAATACCATAGTTCAATTATGCCTCTTGACATCCTCCCAATTTTTCAGCTGATCGCTTAAACCATTATACAAAAGAGTGAATGAGTGAGTACTGTTTTATGCCGCTTTTAGCAATATTACAGTAGTATAACGGCGGGGGGACACCAGAAATGGGCTTCACACATTGTACCCATGTCGGGAATTGAAACAGGGTCTTCAGCGTGACGAGCAAACTACTAGGCTACCCCACTGCCCCTTTTACAGAAGAAGACAAATTAACGAACAGAGTAAAACACAATATGATGGAAGAGGGACAAAAGGACAAAGCCAAATTAAGCCTGAGGCACCAACGGTCCTGGTGAGCTAACAAGCATTGATGAAGTATATCATCAGACTCTAGACATTTTCTTTTATCTGGCTCTCATTCCCAAGTCTCTTACAAGTCAACATTACAGTTCTAATCTCAAACCTTTCTTTCGACATGATATTTGTTCTGTCTGTATTTCACAATAAGAATGATCACCCTAAATCCATACGTCCCAAATTTCTTGACAATCTGTGATGAGAACGGGGAAAATCTATCACTTCCTAGAACCGCAGTAATCCTGATGCACAAGAATGAATACATCACCATTCATCGCCTCCATTCACTGTCTCATAAGGACCTCTACATTTGTTGACAAAGAAAAGACAATCAAGGTAGTCGTCCACAAATCAAATTTGTTTTCCGGACAAAAGATTCCTTGCAGGGATTATTTTCATATCAGAATAACTGAGAAATATATTTATGATATAGACTCTGCTAATATGTATAGGACATCCATTCACAAGAACAGGATATCTATTATGATATAAAAATAGTGATTTTTGATTAGATTGTGTAAATCTAACTCGGAGGTGATGGAGGAGGACATACGAGACAGGAATAGCCGTCTCGTTGGAAATAGGGGATTACACAACAGAAACCTTGAAAGCTGTCTCCGTGTCATTAGCCACAGATTTTTGTCCTTTTATTGACCATGATGCTGGATGCAAATGGAAAAAAACATTTTTACATTTTTTTATTTTATTTTGACAAAACAACAAAGCAAGAAATGTAAAGAGATCGTTGTTTTGTCAAAATAAAATAAAAAAATGTAAAAATGTTTTTTTCCATTTGCATCCAGCATCATGGTCAATAAAAGAATCTATAAAACGAGATGTAAAATAGGTCCAATATAATCCAGTTATTAATGGAATCATCTTTTAACTTAAATCCACATACCTCAAACACAACTGTGCTGGTGTCAACTTCCTGCAACAAGTCCACTGTCTCCAGAACTTGGCAACAACAATTGGAAAAGCTCCTGGAAAAAACAAAGAGAAATTGAATAAACACCAACACTGAAAAAACAGAATGGCATCATAATAACAATACCCATGTCCATTTGAGTTTATATCTGGTAACAAAGAAATTTGAGATTCTTGATCATCTGAAATTTGTGGGAGTGAATGTTGTTTTGCTCCATAAAGCTTTGTTTGCCTTGTTTGTTGTTTAACGCCGCACTCAGCAATATTCCAGCTATATGACGGCGGTCTGCAAATAATCAAGTGTGGACCAGATAATACAGTGATTGATAGCATGCGCATCGATCTACGCAATTAGGATACGATGACATGCATCAACCAAGTCAGCGAGCCTGACCACCCGCTCCCGTTAGTCGCCTTTTACGACAAGCATAGTCGCCTGTCACGGCAGGCATGGGTTGCTGAGGACCTATTCTACCCTGGATCTTCACAGGTACCAAAAAGCATTATCACCTTTTCATATCTAAAAGCAGAAATAAAATATTTTACATGGATGCATTTTACTGATGTTGATGTAAGAAGTAGGAAACAAGTACAAAGCATGATATGTGGATTGAACAATCACATTTACAGATCGTCATGAATCAGATGTGGAAAGCGTACCTTTGTTGGACATTGTAGAAGATAGGCACCATCAGGCAGCCAACCTTTGGCCATCATGGGCATCAATGTTTAATAAGTCACATCCATTTTCTGCTTGGGTAATGGCCATATTGTGCTGCGGTCACATCTATTGTGCTGAGATCAAATCCATGTTGTTTTGAGGTCCACCCATGTTGTGTTGAGTCCTCTGAGGTCCACCCATGTTGTGTTGAGGTCTCCGAGGTCCACCCATGTTGTGTTGAGGTCTCTGAGGTCCACCCATGTTGTGTGGAGGTCTCCGAGGTCCACCCATGTTGTGTTGAGGTCTCTGAGGTCCACCCATGTTGTGTTGAGGTCTCCGAGGTCCACCCATGTTGTGTTGAGGCCTTTGAGGTCCACCCATGTTGTGTTGAGGTCTCTGAGGTCCACCCATGTTGTGTTGAGGTCTCCGAGGTCCACCCATGTTGTGTTGAGGTCTCTGAGGTCCACCCATGTTGTGTTAAGGTCTCCGAGGTCCACCCATGTTGTGTTGAGGTCTCTGAGGTCCACCCATGTTGTGTTGAGGTCTCCGAGGTCACATCCATGTTGTTTTGAAGTGCATCCATGTTTTGTTGTATTTTTCGTAAGTGTGACATGCTTCAACTTCTGAGACATCAGCCCAAACCGATTGTTTCAACAACACCATTGAAACATGATGCACTCATGGTTTCAACAAAATGGGTTTCAGGCTGGTCAGAAAGCTGATGTGTCGTTGTAACAGTGTTCGAGTTTGTGTCATAAGTGAACATAAAACTACACAGAAATGTGAGAGATCATACAAACAAAAAAGTCTTCAAGTGAAACAGCGAGTCATGTCACTCGATCACAACATCCTTATCAATACCTAAAAACTGACAGAAACGAAAACAATTAAAGCCATCATCTCTCCATGGCAACAGGCATCTGGAAAGGAAAATCGAGATTATTTGCTGAATAATATTCAACTTAATTCCACATACCTCCAGCAAGTGTGCTGTGACCGGTCTCCACAACACTTCGACACGGGACAGGTTCACGAGACCCGTCTCCAGAAGCTTGGCAACGGCAAACAAGGAAGGCTCCTGGAAAAAACAAGTAGTTGAATAAATACCAACATGGAAAAACAGAATTGCACCATAATAACAATCTGATATGAAAGTCATGAACAAATTAGTGTGTCATCACTGGTGGGAACATGGCTGTGAAACTTCAGCTTTATTGGTCAAGTGGTTTCTAGGGAGATGATGTACAATTTCATCAAATTCTGACATAAAATGGCTGTGTGAAGATGCTTCAGCTCTCAGTATGGTCAAAGGTCAAATCGGGTCAAATTTAAAAATATCGCAGGAAACGGAACATATATGTTAAGCCCCACTATTCACATGTACCAAATTTTGAACAAAAATGGCCATATAATGACAGTAACTCATTCATGACCAAGTCGTGTTATTCCGGGACAAGCCAAATAGCGACTTGTGCCCATCTCGAGGCCATAATTGTGACTTGGTTCCATTTTAGCTCAACGGGCATAGTTATGATTCACGTATGATTCCCCCATGTCATATATTCTCCAGATGCTATTTAAACACATGGATACTTACATTATTTACACAGCATGATTGAAAATGTTTAACTGTATCTAAGGGTATATGTTAAGATGCAAGAAATGTGTAAAATCAAAAATTATTCCTCGAGGGGTTCTTTGACCGAATCATACACGCTTCCTGTTTCGTTTGTCATATTTTCACACATATCATTCATCGATATGGGGCCAAATCTTCTTGCAGGTTACGAAAAGGGACGAGTGGTGACGAACGGGCAGTAGATAGGTTTGTCAACACGGCTGCCATAGCAGGCATGATTCAAATTTGAAACTCTTCCAAAATAATTTGGGGCGACATTGGTAAGAACAAGATGTTTCATTGGTCCAGTGGTTTTACTGGAGATGTTTACGACGGATGGCAGACACACAAGCAATGACATAAGCTCACTTGACTTTCAGTCAGGTGAGCTAAAAGCTAAACACTATAATTTCAAATGACTGTGTTAAATACACATACCAGTGAGCATAAAACTTCAATCATGACATCTAGGCATTTCTTTATAAACACATAATACATATTTGATATTCTTATTTTTTTCATTACCATGGCAACAGAAGTTGACTTTTGAAAAGATTTATAAATTAGATCAGGACTTAATATGATCTCAATTGTCTCTATTTATGCATTCTGGTTTCCTTGTCATAGTAACACTGACAAACAACTAGAATACACTTTCACACTCACTGACAATTCTTGTTCATTTTTGTCAAAATTAACTTCACAGCTGCATCCTGAGATGTAAGGACCACGAGAAACATACAAAACTACATCAGCATCACAATACTTGATGCAAATAGGCATAACACAATGTTGAGTGAGTCACTGATCTTGAGATGGATTTAACACTGCTTTGAACAGTATTTCAGTTCTATTACAGCTGTCAGCTTGAAGTAAGAGGAGAGCCCAGAGACATAAAAGTTTTCTTAGTCTGTTTGTTGTTTAACAGCGCACTCAGCAATATTCCAGCTATATGACGGCAGTCTGTAAATAATAAAATCTGGACCAGAAATCCAGTGATTGACATCATGAGCACTGATCCACGCAATTGGGATACGATGACATGCATCAACCAAGTCTGACCACCTGATCCTGTAAGAGCATCTTACGACAAGCATAGTTGCCTCTTACGCAAGCATGGGTTGCTGAAGACCTATTCTACCCTGGATCTTTTAAAGAGTCAGACTTTTACCACTTTAGTGAAACCCACAAGCATGGATATGATGCTGACAAACCTAGAAACATCATCAGGGAGAAGTGGAATTCTAACCCATGATGATATGTTTCTGTCACACTGAGGGAACACACCACTGCACAACAAACTGTAATGCTTAGACCCTTTCCCCAACATAACACAATACACTACTAGTGGCTACACCATAAAGCCAAAGAGAAGCCAAAATAATTCAAAGTTGGAATGAGACAAAAACAAAAAATACTTCTGAAATCAGGTCTTTGAACGGCATTTAGAAGTGATACACACAAGGAAGAGAATATACGGATGTCGACTTCTTTGTTATGACTTGTATTATTATAAAGAAGTTGACGTCCATATATTCTCTTCCTTACTTCCGAAATATTAAAATGCACTGACATTTAAAATTTATACCAACATATCCTTTCATTCACTAAAACTGCACATATCTGATATCAAAATTTAACATCATATCATACCCAGTAACCTCCAAATGCAAATAAAGATGACAGCAAGTTTGATAAATGAATACTTTAAAGTAAGGCTGTCGCATGAGTCTCTCCAGACATTTCTAGGATCATATATATCTTTTAATCCGTAATAAGTAACTAACTCATTAAATATATTATATCCAACTTAAAGATTTAGGAAAGAAAAGAATAGAAAAAAATATTTTGCCAAGAAATACATTTACACATATGAAAGAAAACATGTAGAGAAAAACTTCCATTGAACCCATGAATAAAAAGAAAAAAATCCAATAGAGCCCAAATTATTTTCCAAATAATATCAATTACAAAGTCACTCTTTGCTTTTCTGTCAACAAATGGCAAAACCTGGAACATGAAATGAGATATTGAAATATAACATGGCATCACCAACACGAGCCAGGGTACAAGAGGCTGCGTTATAAACGATCTTACATAAAAAAAATGGACCAATGGCTAAAAAACCCAATTCAGATGTCGTTTATCATCTTCCAATTAACCCCTTCGGCAATCCATCATTATTTCCGCTACTACAGACACATGAAGTGTTGCATGCATCCATGAAATAAAGTTAGCATGTACACATACTGGAAAACCTATCTCGTGCCGTCTCCTATTGCTGGGGAGTGAGGGACTCCCACAGGCACGCAACATGAAACAATGTATGTCAGACTCGCTGGGGAGCTAGGTCAATGCCAGTTATTGGTTTTCCAGTACAAATATACCTTAAAAACCATCAGCTGAGAGATGGATGTTTTCTCTTGATGGTACCTCCCAAATTTAAACGCGCTAATCATCTTGTTTTTTCGTACTTGCCTTGGGTAAGTTTCAAGTAATTAAGCGTCCGAAATTTGAAGCATTTTGACACAAGTGATAAGATCGAAAAAGTGGGTTAGTAAGTTCATCCAGTTCTTTAACAATTATCTGTGTGCTGAGAGACTCATGTGTCTCTGTTTCTTGATTCTAAAGCTTAAGGGTACAAAGGTGGATATTATTTCTCGATCAACACTGAGGTGGTGAGTGAATGTTGTTTTACGTTGTGACAAGGATAAATCATTTACCTTAGGCCAGAGGTGAAGTGAGTTGAAAAGGAGTTTAACGCCGCGTTGTTGCACTTTTATCGCGATGATGGTGTGTGTTTTCAAACTGGTTGCATAGTGAGTGAGTGAGTGAGTGAGTATGGTTTTTACGCCGCTTTAGCAATATTCCAGCAATATCACGGCGGGGGACACCAGAAATGGGCTTCACACATTGTACCCATGTGGGGAATCAAACCCAGGTGTTCAGTGTCATGAGCGAATGCTTTAACAACTTGGCTACCCCGCCTCCCCTCTTGGGGGATCAAAGCTTGCAAATACTACAACAATACACATTAATTATATACAATTTTTAATTATGTACTATAACATGTAAAAACACAAACTACAGGAAGCTCTTACTGGTAAATTGCAATATTGTTCAATTTAAACATCTATATCTTGTTCCTTATGACATGATAATATGGTATTCAATAACAAAGGCACAGAGGGTTACACATTTAGTTTTCATAAATCAAAATGTGGGCCAAATTACTGTTAAATCTCATTATTTCAAATAGCTACTTGCATTTCAAACTTGTTCACCACAAAATATTCATTCCACAAACTTGAATATATCAAAATACCAATTAACATTTTTAAACTAGACTGTAAAATCTCCTTCCGACATTAATACTCCTTCAAACTAATTTTGAGATTTATTCAGATTATGCCGCCTACTTCCTTTTCCATTTATTTTTGGATAAATTTGAAGAAAATTGGAGCCAAACTTCTTCTTTCTAGCTTCCAAGGAACAAAACACCCCATTCTTCATTTTCCCACTTCCTTCACTGTGTAAAAGTGATACGTTCTCAACCTGTAAAGAAAGCCCACCAACTGAATACCCCTTTAGAAGAAATTCTACATTAACTTAGGTCCTTGGGCGCCCACAAGATTCATTTTGAAATTTTTCCTTATTTTTCGTGAAATTAATGGTTCCAGGTCGGAAGTGGAATCAGTTCCTGTTTACAGTTTATTGTATTCAATGTTCTCTTGGGTTAGTCCCATCAATCATCCACATCATCCATACAAATTTTCATCTTTGCCTTTTTTCACCTTTCTGATCCCACAGGATTCAGTGACAAGAAGATGCGATATGACAAGTGGCCATTTTGGCTAGAAATTTTGAAATATTGTCGTTAAAATTATCTGGACATGTCCATGTGATTGACGATTAGTATTTTTTCTTTCTTTCATGTTTGTGGTTATAACATGATCAATTAATGAAGAATGACCACAATGAGGGAAAATGCAGACTTTTAAAAGTTCAAAATAAAATCTAACCATGAAGTCTGTGACAAAAGATGAATTTTTTTTTAGATGTTTGAACTGCTCTACATCAATCACTGAAGAAAATCAACGTTATGAAAAACTTAAATTAGAAATTAGAAAAATGCTTCACGAAAAAGTCTACTATCAACCTTTTGGACACATTTGACATGAAACAAAAAATGGAATTAAAAACTCAACTGATGATGATACTGCAGTAGTTTGTTTCATGAATCATGAACATAATTGGGAGTGTCTATTTTAGCCTTGTGTGTCATTGAAACTGGACTCAAAATTAATAGAATGGAGACATCATTCATTGAATTATCGAAAAAATGACCAACTAAACTATATATAGCATTTTAGTATTTTCCCCCCAACTAAACTATAGTTAATAATAATTACTATGAGTGAGTGCATAGTGAACTATGGCGCCTTAGATGACTGGGCCAC